GGGGAAGGACAAGATGGGGGAAAATTTGGAACTCAAAATCTTGTGGAAGTGAATGTTGAAAACTAAAAACAAATTAACGAATCTAAAAAATTGTTAAATTTTCTCTTCACCCTTATATATAAATTATAAGCACAGTATTAATAGAAATGATACATAATAATATAATTCATTTTAATGGCTACTTCCCAACAGAACTAGATTGACCAGAAAGGTCAGGGAATTGTAATTTTCTTTAAACAAATCTCTTACAGAATTTGGAACTGAAATAAAGGCATAACTACCATCTGGTCTGGATTAAATTGTTCTTCCTTTAATTATGTTAATATTACTGAGTTGAATATTTTATCATTTGTTAAAATTTAGGTTTCCTTATTATGATAGTATACAAATTTGAAACTCCCTATTAGTGTCTCAGTTATTTTGGCAGGAAAAAAACAGTACTTAACTGTCTACAGTAATTGTATTAGTAAGTACCATTATAACTCCAATTATAATAATTTTCAGCCTGCCAATTTTTGTCATAAATATGCTTGCTAAGAATCCTTCTTTTTAAAAAATTATTTTATTTTCAGTTCCAAATTTTCTCCTTCCTCCTACCCCCTCCCCAATCCAGAAGCCAAGAAATACAATACTCACTACACATATGAAGTCATGCAAAACATTCCCACATTAGCTATCTTCAAGAGAGAGAGAGATGTGCTTCAATCTGCACTCAATTTATCAGTTCTCTTTCTGGAGGTAGATGGCATTTTTCATCATGAGTCTTTTGGAATCATTGTGGATCATTGTATTGATCAGTTACTAAGTTTAGCATAGTTGACTTTTGACAATATTGATTACAATATTGTTACCATATATATTGTTCTCCTGGTTCTGCTCTCTTCATTTTATATCACTTCATATAAGTCTTCTCAGGTTTCTCTGAAACCTTTCTCTTCATCATTTCTTAAAGCACAATGATATTCCATCACATTCATATACCATAACATGTTCAACATTACCCAAGTTGTTGGGCATCCCCTCAGTGTCCAATTCTTTGCCACCACAAAAAGAGTTGCTGTAAATATTTTACATGTGAGTACTCTTCCTTTTTCTTTGATCTCCTTCAGATGTATTACATCTAGTAGTGGCATTGCTGGGTCAAAGAATATGCACTGTTTAATAGCTTTTGGGGGATAACTCCAAATTACTCTCCAGAATGCCCAGAGTAAAATACTTCATGTTTGAATATTAAAATTGTAGTTATCTTTGGAATTTTTAGCTATACTGTATAGTGCAGGCACTTTGGGGGAGGGTTTTATACTCAAGCTATATTTTTAGATCGGTCTTACAAAGTTATCTTTCAAATATTTTTGTAAGCTCTCAGCTTGAGAAATTTTGACAGGGTTTCTGACCTTTGCCATATTATAATGATGATGCAGGAAAAGTGGTGCTAAAGATACCATCAGAGAAATGTATGGCTGAAAAAAAAATAAACCAGTCACCTAATGAGAGTGATGATAATAAGTTGACAGTTTACATGCTCTGGTACCCACACAATGTGAAAGAGAATGTGAAGACCCTCCCAGTACATTGGGTCCCCTATTTCTTCCAATGAGAATTTAGTGAATGTCATGGACAAGAACTGTGCAAGTTGGCAGGCATGATTAGGTTGCAATTTGCATCATTGGAGGAAATGCCTACATTGATGAGATGTCACATCTATTGGAATATTGGATGAAGCCAGTCACGCTATTGATAATCTAAATTTATGGCAGAAATTTATCTGGTCATATTAGCAGTTTAATTTTTTAACAAAGTGTTGTTATAGGCCTGGTGTTATATATTAGGCTCTGAATGTTGGATTCTTCACATTTTGGTAATTTGCATTAATATTGTATGGAATTGATGATTGACAGGGAAATTACTTTAAAACTTTCAGTGGGGCAAAGATTGCTTCTAAATAGCATGGAAATAAATTTATCAATTAAAGTATTATAAAATTTAAAAATATTATCTTATTATTTACACTTATGTGAGTAGTTAGTTGTCAGTAAAGTAAAGCCTCTTCTTTCATACCCCAATCTCTAAAAAACATTCAGAAAATTAAGCTGAAACACAATTTATTTTATGCTTGTCATGATTTGTCACATAATCAGTCTCTGAGGTTTGTACGTGTCTATCTCTTGTCTCTTTCCTCCTCCTTCTCTGCCTTTTTGTCTTCACAGTCCAGAAATTTGGCATCTAACAAAAGATTAAAATAATCTGCCATCATTTTCTAGGTTTTTTGTTTTTTCTTAGGGAAGTGGAAGAAGCTTTAACTGACTACTGGCAATTACTTGCATAAGGATGAATAATAGCAAATTTAACATTCTGAATAAATTTTATAGTACTTTCATTGATAAGTATTATAGGGGAATATGGAAGCCCACTTACATTGCAATCATTTCATTTTCTATTTTTAAACATTTACTTGGCATTCAGTTTAGGAGAGTCTTTCTTTCAGCCTCCTAATTCTTTAGCTGTTATTCTAATCATCCACTCCCTACAGTTCCTGCTGTTTCTTTCTCCTCCCCTAACATCTAAGTTCCTAGAACTTTATCATATATTCTTGCTGCCTATCTTATACCATTTCTTTTGCTGACCCATTAGAGCAGAAGCATCTAAATTCATTTAATAGCCCTGTCCCACTTTGCAGAAGCAAAGGGAGAAGGGGCTTTTGGCAATCTTCTGATTTAAGATAGCAAGCGATTCCTTTTAAATTTAAATTTTCTTTGCTATGGGAAGGGAGAGGTTTTTAGTATCGTGTTGTAGAATTACTATTCTATGTAGGTACTACTGCTCTTCAGTCTTATTTCCATCTGTACCATTTAACCAAAATATCCTCACCAAGAATTATGATCAGATTTTGCCTAAGCTAAGTCCTGAAGGCCTTCTCTTAATTCTTGTCCTGCATCTCTTCACTTCATTTATCAAGCAGCATCAGCCACCTCATTTTCGAAATCGTCTGTTTTGTACTTGAGGATTTAATTTTTTTCCTTTTTCTTTTACTTGGCATATTTCTCCTTGATCTTCAGATATAAATCTTCCTCTTCATTTTTTGCTGATCATGGGAGCCACATATGGCCCTCATGCTTTGATCTTTTTTCTCTTTCCAGTCTCAGTACATCCATCCAGAGATTTTGCTGCCTCTTCAAAATAAGAATGGTAGGGGCAGCTAAATGGCTCAGTGGATAGAGCACCGGCCCTGAAGTCAGGAGGACCTGAGTTCAAATCCAGCTTCAGACCAAATACTTGACACTTACTAGCTGTGTGACCCTGGGCAAGTCACTTAACTGCAATTGCCTAAAAAAAAAAAGATTAAAAAAAAAAGAATGGTAAAATCAAAACTTTTTTAACGTTATCCTTAACATCTTCACTTTTGCTCAGCTTTTCCATCTCTTTTGGCATTATCCCTATCTTGCCTTTCTTCCAAGAGCAAAACAACCACAAAAGATTCTGTAAAATTCTTGTTTATAATTACATAATGAACAATGCAAAGTTTAATGTAGTTTTGGCTCAGAAATCTTAGGTCCACCTAATCATTTCTATGTTTCTCTACCAAATCAATCTTCTAGGCCTTAGATATTTTCTCCAAAGATTACTGTAATCTTTTCATTGACTTTTTCACCTCTTCCCAATCTTTTCTCCATAAAATCTGCAGCTAAAGTTTACTTCCCCTCATCACTTATATGCCTTCTTCATCAGTTAAATTCTCAGATTCCACTTTCTGACCAAATTCCTTACTTTGACCTTTAATACTAATTTATCTGTCTTCCCTGATACCAGCTTAAGATGTCTCATTTACATACTTGCTTTCTTCCTTTCTGTATAGTATATTAAAATTGTTAATTTCCCTGTGTACCTATCAGGCCTTCAACCTGTTCAGTGCTCTTGGGAAACTGAATCTATCATTTTTCCCTGGGACTAGGGTACCAAAGGTACATATCCAATAAATCACATACTTCTGAAATAGCTAAGGCCACATTTGTGGATTTTTAGAGCCTTAGGACAACTTCAAAAGTTTGGAGCAGAACTAAACAGACCCCCCCCCAAAACCCATTCTAATTTATAAATACCCTACAGGTCTGTTCTGGATTCAGGATAATCCCTAAGGTCCAGGGAAGAAGTAGATTGTGGTCATTTTCAAAATGACAACCAGATTGAAGCCCTAAACCTCTCAGAACCCTTATAGAAGTCATAAAATAGTTCCTTGAACTCTGACCTGACTTAGTCCCACAGTTTAAACAAGAATGTAGATATATACTTCTTTGACTCACTCTGCTTTTAACCAGAATTCCCAAGATAGACCCCACATATCCTAAAGATTCCAGAACTACCCTGACTTGCTCATCTTGATTGCCTGTATGCTTGTTTATCCTACAGCAAAATATTCTTAATGCTTTGGAGTGATGAGAAAGGTAGAGATATAAATATATAAATGCTTTTTGGCGGCACCTAACTTTTTTTTTCCTGTATAAAATCTTTTTCCAAATAGAAAGGAAATCATTCTAATTCACACCTAATCTTAACAGACTAACATTCCTCTCCACAGTGACTATTAAATAATGTGCATTTATACTTTGACTCTGCTATAGCGTGCCAAATCTAGATTGTCAAACTTTGTGAGCAGCGGCCTTTCTTTTTTTCTTATAAGGCAGTCAGGGTTAAGTGACTTGCCCAGGGTCACACAGTTAGTAAGTATCTGAGCTCAAATTTGAACTCAGGTCCTCCTACCTCCTGGGCTGGTGCTCTATCCACTGTGCCACCTACCTGCCCCAAAGGCCTTTCTTTTATTCTCTCCCTATCTTTATTTATCTCAGAGTCTTAGTAGTACAGTAGTCTCAGAATTGTGCCAATTATGTTAACTGAGCTCAACTAGACATTTACTGCTGGATGGAAATCTTTTATTTTCTGTTTGACTTATTATGTTCTCCCCAGTAACTATTCAAAATTCTCTCCTTTCCTTAAGCACCCTCCCATTATCTTTTACAACAAAAGATTTCAAAATTAAAGCCATCCATCATTAGTTTCCTCTTTTCTCGTATTCCACACCTCAAAACCTTTCTTATATAATTTCTTCTCACATTTTTTTGCTTGTTTGATGAAAAAGTGACCTTTTTCTCTGTCGAGTGTCCTTCAGAAACTTGATTTCCTAGGTCATTCCTTCTCTGGCTCACGTTTTCGGTTTCCTCCATCCTTTAAAGAGAAAACAAACCAAAAAATCCTTGACCCAGCCATCTCCTCAAGTTATCATTGTATATTTCTTTGATTGTTCATAGTCCTACTCCTAGAAAGAGTCATCTACACTTGTTGCCCCTATCTTTTTCCATACACTGCTCATCCCCTTGCAAATGCCACTCAAATAAAACTATACTCTCCAAAGTTAATACAGATCTCTTGTCTGCTAAATGATCTTTTCTTAGTCTTTATTTCTGTTTAGCTTATATATAGCTTTGGAGACTATCCACTATCACCATCTTTCTGCATAGTCTTCTCAGAGTTTTGCTGATAATTGCTATCTTGGTTTTTCTCCTGCCCATCTGACCACTCCTCAGTCTCTTAGGGGATCATCATCCTTTTCTTCTAAGTGCAGGTATCCTTCTCTAGTTTCTCTCTCTTCATTTTCTCCCTTGGTGATCTCAACTCCCAAACTTAATTGTCATCACCATGCAGATGAATCCCTAATCTATATGTCCAGTCTCTATCTCTCTCTACATGTATTGATCATCTCCACCTGGATGCCCCATAGGTAATCGCAAACTCAACATGTGTAAAACAGAATTCCTTTAACCCAAAACCCATCTCTAAATTTCCCTTTAAGAGCATGCACATCCTTCTAGCTATCCAGTGTCACAACTTTGGAGTGATAACTTGACTTTTTTCCTCTTCCATTTGCCCTATCTAATCAATTACCATATTTTATTAATTCTACTTCTACAAAATCTCTCACATCTGACCCTTTCTCTCCAGTCACACAGACTCTACCTGAGTTCAAGTCTTTTTACCACTTGGCTATATGACTGCAATAATCTCCTAATTGGTCTCCATGCTTTGAGTCTCTTCACTCACCAGTTTATCTTCCACATAGTTGCCAAATGGTTATTTCTAAAACATAGATGTGACTATAACTCTCCCCTACTCAGAAATCTTCAGTGGCTCCCTACTGTCAGGAAAATAAAATACAAAATCCTTAGCCTGTCACTTAAAGCCCTCCATAATCTATCTCCCAACTTGCCTTTCTGGTTATTTTATATTACTCTTTCATACACCATTTTTTTTTAGTCAAACGAGACTTCTAGCACTTCCACTTACATGACATTCCATCTCTTGCCTTTACACAGGTGGACCCTGTGCAACTAGAGTGCACTCTCCCTCATTTTCACCTTTTTAGATTACCTACCTTCCTTGAAAACAGTGCCATTTCCTATATAAGGCCTTTTCTTATCTATCACATCCCCTAGTTCTTTCTCTGTGTTTGTTTCTCTGTTTCTGTCTGTCTCTCTGTCTCCCTATCTCTCTCTATCTCTGTCTCTCTCTCTCTTTCTGCCTCCTCTCTTGATATTACCTTGTATTACTTAGTATAGACTTTGTATTTACTCATCTATATTTATGTTGTATATCTCCAGCTGAATGTAAGCTCTTTGAGGAGCAGGAACTGCTTCATTTTTCTTTGTATTCTAGTGCCTAAAGCAGTGCCTTGCATGTAGTAGATACTTAATAAATGTTTGTTGAATGAATACAGTGCCACACACATGTTCAGTAATATTGATTGATGTTCTTGACTCTTCTCTCCTAACTTATTCTTGTTCTTTCATTTTCTGTTCAGTTTCTCTGATCTGTATTTTCTTTCTCTTTACTTAACAGACAGTGTGGAGCATTCATTATTAAGACAATTGGGCAGCTCTAGTCCAGCTCAACTGATTTCTTGTTCAATGATCCTTGTGTGGCCGAGATCCAGCTTCAACGAACCGGCTAGAAGCTGCCCGTTGTGAAACTTAGGGTTAGTTGATACCTCACCATACTTGTTTTTCCGACTGTAAGCTATTAGATATTATGAAATTCTCCCTTTCACCTATTCCACAAAATTAATTAGTTGGCTGGGGCATATTGGGTTTTGCTTTGTATTAATCCAACTATTGGGACATTTTCTGTAATAGTTGTTTTGTTCATTCCATAATAGCCATATTAGGAATAGTGAATCATCTTTCATTTTCACTACTTTGTGATATTTCTTTTCATTGTGGACTTTTAGATTTTGAATGTTGTAATTTATATCCTCTTATTTTTGCTTTAATACTTTGGATGGATAACTTCTAATTTAAATTGGATTTTCAAATATATTTTTATGCCTTTTAAAATGTAGGGTATTACTTTAAACTTAGGCAGTCTTGGGTCAATATTCCTACCACTTTACTTTGAAATTTTTTTTATTATGCTTTATCTTTATTTTTCTGTTTGTTTTTTTAAATTAATTTATTTTGAATTATCAACAATCACTTCCATATGTTTTTGAGTTTAAAATTTTTCTCCCCCTCCCTCCCTATCACCCTCCTCTAGATGGCGTGCAATCTGATATAGGCTATACATATACATTCCTATTGAACATATTTTCACATTAGTGATGTTTTAAGTAAGAAATTGAACCGATAGGAGGAACCACCAAAAAAAGGAAACAAAACAAAACAGAAGTAAAAAAATAGCAAATAGTATGCTTCGATCTGCATTCAAACTCCATAGTTTGTTCTTTCTTGTGGATAGCATTTTCCATCACGAGGCCTTTGGAGTATGCTTTATCTTTATTAGCCATTGCTTGTCTACTAATCTTTGACTTTCTTCATTTATATTTTTCTGCTTCTATCATGATTTTCAGCAAAATTCTTACTTTTATGCCTCCTTTTGTGCTACTTTTCCAAGCATTCGAAAAATTAGCATATGTTTTTATTATGATTTTTATTCATTTTTTTCTGATACTCCTAATATTTGTAATAAGTACCGTAGCCTTGCCGTATAATAACCCTACTAGATGTTTAAATTTAATCATTTTAGACCCTCCTCCAAAAAGAGTTTAGTTGACAGAATTTATTCAGCAAAACTATATTATGCACACCTTATGTATGGAGAATACCATACTAGGCACTGGATGAGACATAAATTTTAAATAAGATGTGCCCTTATACAAGTTTAGTCAGATTGGGGGGAAATGATAACTCATAACCTATTGATGGAGTTCTTGAAGGTTTTAAAAGCTTTCTTCCTTTGAGATAAATGGTATAAGTATCTTTTTTGGTAAACGAGGAAAGTAAATTTAGAATGTCAGTGTTCTACAACACAGACCCAAAAGGTGGTAGTTTAATGAAGCTCTAGGGTAAAAGTGAGATATCTTTGTGGATAGAAAGTATCATAAATGTAGAGCTAGAAGGGCTCTTAGAAATCATCTGGTCCAAATCCCTCATTTTACAGATGAAGAAACCAAATCCCAGAGAGGTGACTTGACTTTGCCCAGGGTCACACAAGTAGTAAATCGGCAGAGTCAGGATTTGAACTTAGGTCCTGTGTCTCCAAGTTCAGCATTTTGTCTGCTGCACCAGTTGTTTTATAAAAAGATGAACACTTTGTAAATCCTAGGAGAACGTTAGATTCTGATTCTGGAGACAACTTGATTTATTAATATGAGGAAGTAAGGTTTTGCTTTAAAAAAGCATTCATTTTCTAGAAGTTATGGAACAAATCAGAAGCCAATAAGCTCAAACATCTAGTTCTTGACATTGTGATTTATATAGTCATATAAAATTCCCCTTAACCCTCTTCATCTCAGGAAATTAATGAGGGGGGTAAAGAAAAAGGTTGACACTAACCCCCTAAAAATCATTCCTTCTCATGTGTTACCCCTAAATATATTTCATTCTCAGGAGAAATAACAGCAGTCATGGGGATATATGCCAGAAGCAGGATTTAAACCCATGGCTCTCCAAACCCAACTTTTTTCACTATACCATGCTGCCTTTAATTAATATGTTTGCCAGCAAAAATTGTTTCAAAAGAGACAATAGGATCTATGAATGTTTATCCCCCCCCAAAAAAAGTAAAATAATGTTATTTCACTTTCCCTGCTATTCTGAAATTTCAGAAGTCATATTCTTTTTGCTTTGTTCCACATTTTCCATATCAATATCAGGTAAGAAGGTATCTTTTTTCATTTTAAATATTTGGCTACAAGACACTTAACAGGTTTTTTGGTCTTTATTTTTACTGCCATTTATTTATGCCATGGATATTTCTCTCTAATACCTCTGGTCTTGAGAATAAAAATTAAGAGAACTTTAATATTAAAATCAGTAGGTGGGCATGATGCCATATATCACTTGGACAAAAATTCATTGATGATGTGGATCAAGGATCTTGTTATAGTTATTACATATGTGAGTGTCCTCCATGGATACGTTCATAGAATTTATAAGCTATATTTAATTTGAGAAGCCGACCAAGACTTCAAATTTGTGTACAGCACCTGCAAATATTGGAGCATGTCAGCCTACCTTCTCCATCCCTTAGCTTGCCAGCCCAGAACCATATTACCTCAGAAGACAGATGGATTGGAGGGAGGGTGAGTGTGAATCTGTGGAGGAGACATATTTGGAGAATTCCTCATTACAGATACTGTAAGAAACTCATTTTATTTTTCATTTATTTAGTATATTTTCTGTAGAAGTTTTTGAAAAGTAGAAAAAAGTACTCATTCTGAAAAACAGAAAACAAATGTGTTGATAGCTGACAATTTCTGAATTTACATTGTTTTGTATTTAGATGATCATGACTCAGTCACTGAGTCAGTAAATATTTATTGAATGCCTATGGGCAAATTTCCAAAATCATTTCATGAATGTTTTCTAAAAATAATTATATGTGCATCACAGTGGGTAATAATTTTACTACATGGACCAAAATCATAACCTTATGAAGAGAGTATTCCCTTTTCTTTGGCAGAATATTCAGACAGAACCTGACTTAAATATCTTGGAAGTTTTCAAGAATATTAATTTATAATTCTTAATAGTTAATTTTGCTGTAATGTTTAGTTTGTTTGATAGACTTATTTTATGTTTTGGAATACCCTCAAGACCTTTGCTCTTTTTATGGCCTTGGTAGATTAAGTATGGGTGAGTCAAAATGAGAAATGAAACATATACATAGTATAATTTATACAATGAATTAGTAGTGGAATATATCCAGATTATAAGTGAGGATATTGGTCAAAATAAAATTATTCTCCCATGGTAGGACTGTGCATCTTATTCTTATAGGGTAGTCTTAACTCTACAGTAATGAAACTAATTTCAGTACCCACACTAGAAATAAGTCTCTTGCTTTATACTATTCTCACTTCCTTATGAATATGTGTTTATATGCTTATAGGTCATATCTATGAAGTGCACCCTAACCAGAGGGGAAAAAAAGTCCCTTTTTGGAGATGTTGGTATTTACACATTTTCTCCCCTCATTTATGAACTCATTTCTTTCCTCACAAATCTCTTGGATTATTCATCCACAAAAGTGAAAGGAGTAGTGCTTAGGTAACAGGAAGATGAATTGAAATGGCTGACCCTACCTGCCTTCAGCATTGCCTGTTCTATTTTTAAAAGCATCTCCAATGTTTGCCAAAGGTGACTACTTAGGTAATCTTGAAATTGTGATTGCCGTTTTTGCTTCTTTATCTGAAAAAAGCAAACCCAAGATATAGTGAGTCCTTTTAAAGGTTCCCAGTTCTTTTTACATTGGAATTCTGATGTCTTCCTGAAGAAAGTTTTTTATGACATTTTTAGTTTGGGTTCATTCTGCCCTTAAAAAAATATACACACACATAACATTTTTCTATTTGAATGCTACTCATTTAATAGTTTTGCTGTCCATATGCACAAGTCCCTAAAAAGACAGCTTGCATCCGTTTCATACTTCTCTCTAATTAGAAGTTGTGGTATCAGTCATTTATTGAAACTTATTCTACACACTTTGTTTTTGCCTTATAGGCTGTACAGTATTTGTTCGAATTGAACTAGCCCCATTTTAAATTTCATCATCCTTTTATTCTACCTATTATTTTCTCTATCAGAAACCAGTAGCAATTCCAGATTACTTCCAAATATGTCTGGTGGTGTTCTCATTTTGTTTCTCTTCTCCACAAAATAGTTCATCTTATTTAGTTTTTCATATATCAGTTAAATAGATATTTTTATGTAGCTCTCTTATACAGTAGAACTTAACAGAAGCAAGCATAGATTGTGTTCTATTCAGCAAACATTTATTAGGCACCTGTTTTGTGCAAAGCTCTGTGCTGGTAGAGATACAAAATTTAGATTAGATAGGAGCCCTGTTCTTGGGATGTTTATGGTACTATTTTATACCAGTCAAATAACTATGTTTTAGGACCTCAGTGTTAGTGACATTATTTTTTTAATTTTGATGCTTGAACCATTGGTAATGAAACTAATGCTAAATCTGAATTTTCTGAAGGACATTTTACTTGTATAAGAGATTGAATAGTTCTTTGGATGTTGGGGTTAAATAGATTTTTGTTATACCATATTGACCCTTGACTACTAGTCTTCCAAAAACATACTGATTTTCTTATGTTGTCCAACTCCTAGTTTTATTGGTCTTTCATTTGATAGACAAATTCAGTGATCACGTATTATTTTATTATATATTATTTACTTATTACAGTATAGTACTGATCTCAATTTTGTGTTTCTTCCCATGTGCCCACGAGGATACAGCTGTTAGAATTGAGTAGTTTTCTAAAGATGACCAAGGTCACCAGTTATCACTTTGGTAATTTTCTTCTCATGTTTTGGAACATGGGAAGATATGAGGTCTGAGGGGTCAGAGAGACAAAATAGAACAGATCCTTGGGTTACCCATGTATTACTTAATGGCTTAAGTCCTAACCTCCCGCCACCACCACCACCCTACCCTGCTTGCATGCGCACACACCATATATCTTCTGCCATTTATTATAAATTTTGGAGGCCTTGCCCCAACCTTTTCGACTTTCTGTCTACTGGATTTCTTTCAGCCTACAGAAAAAAAAGAACAAAAAGAAAAATTAGTATTTAGTTCTTATTTGAATTTCATTTTTACTTCATGCTTCTTCATGTCTTCTATTTAAGTAAAATTCTATAGTTTAGCACCCAAGGTCCTTCACAACCTGACAGTAGCCTACTTGACAGTCTTATTTCACATTGCTCCTTTTTACACACACTGTATTTTCTGACTAAAATAACCAGTTGTTCCCCAAACCTCCAGTTGCTTAGGCCATCCCCCACACCTGGAATGTAGTCATTCTTCATCTCCACCTTTCAGAGTCTACCTTCTCCTTTAAAGCTCTTCCTTGAAGATTTCTCAGACCCCTCCTTCCCCTCAGATGAATGTTCTCTCCTCAAATTTTTCTGGAGCATTTTGTCTGGGTAACTTCTTTGTTCCTATCATGATATGCCTTTTATTACATTTAACTGTATGTGTCATTTATACACATACACATATACTCAATAGAATGTAAATTCTTGGAGGGCAAGGACTAATTTTTTATGTTTTTATCCCTAGTGCCTAGCATGATGCTTATGTATAGTTAATTGCTTAACAAATTTTTGTTCTTTTGAGTTAACTTATCCTTTTTCTCTTCGACCTGGTGTGGCTACCCCTAGATACTTTCACCTCTAAGATTTCCTGGGTGAAAATTTTAAAATACATATTTTTGAGACAAAGCTAATCTTTAGCCTTTAGGACCTTGAGCCAACCTATGTCGAATGCCTTAACAATCATCTTTGTTTTTTTTTTCCTTGTTTCCCTCCCAACCAGTGTTTATGACATTGTCTGTACATTCTCATTTCTAGATTTAGGAAATGGCAAGTAAGATCTCCCACCCCACCCCCCTTAAGAATATCCTCTTGGTGGGATTCAAACTTATTTTAAGTTAGGATATTGGTATCTCTGCTGTCCATTTATGGGGGTTAACTTAATAACTGTCCCCTGTTTTAAAAATACAAGTGGTTCCCTGTCTTTTAAAATGAAAGTTTCACCTTCTGTCACCCTCACTTGTTTCTAGGACCTACATCCCAGGGACCAGAGTCAACCCTGCCCAAGAATAGAGATTTACCTGGTATCTCAGGAGAGTTCCTACCTGTTATCCCCCTTCTTGGCCTTTCAGAAGCCATCGTTTTCATCTTGGCTGCTATTTTGGATAGTTCCTACAAGTTAATGGCTGGAGTGGTATTTTTTTCTTCATATATTTAAGTATCACTTCTCCCACATTCCTCTTCATTTTCATGCACCAAGCTCAGGAGGACAATCCAGTGGTGGTTTTATTCAACATCATAGTGCTCTGGTGGTACCCCTTCTTCCATCTCATTCTTAAATTCATGAAAGAGAAGAGAGCAGTAGATACTGTCAAGCATATTCATTATTCAAGATGGTATTAGAAAACAAAAAGTGTTTCTCTTGTTTGACTTAAAAGGGCTTTCTCCAAAGTGTAGATGTTTTCTAACCCTTTATTCTCCTGCATGATGGTATAGAAGTGCTTCCTAGTTGATTGTCTGTCCATCATTACTCACACACATCCCTTCCTGGATACTGAGGTGACTGGACAAAATTTCTTTGACATTTTCCCACTGCCTTTTTCTGTACCCCACTTATACTAGTGTTCTACACTCCAAGTGGTTGATGCCTTCTTGTCTTTCAAAACAAGACCTTTTCAAACAGTGTTGTTACTGTATAAACTGTTCCAGTTCTGTCCACTTCACTCTACATAATTCTATACAAGTTTTCCCAATTTCTTTGAAGTTATTCTTTTTATTAAGACTCCATTTCTTGAGACCAGTTTTAAACAGGAGTTATATAATATACTCTTAAATCACATTATTTTGCTCCATTTTTCATACTGGCATTCTGTGATTATTATTCAGAATCCTGTCCTAGATGCTGACCTCTTCTTGCCCAGACCTTTTCTTCTGGGCTCCTCAGCTGTTCAGAATCTTTGGGTCTTCTGATATTTTCTTCATTAAGTGTCCCGGCTTAATTTAAGTCTCTACTACTTGACCTCCCTGATCTTTGTCCCTATTTACCTTCCTTCTAAATCCCTGTCTCTCTAGTCTTGAGGATCTCTTGACTACCTAGATTCACCAATTTCCCTTTTGTCCAACCAAATGCCTAGGTTTAATTGCCATAGTTTATGGTCCTGTAATGGAAGTCCATTGCATATAAGAAATGATAGCTGTAATCAGTCAATCAATCAATCAAGCATTTATTAAGTACCTTCTATATACCAGGAACTGTACTAAATGCTTGAGGTACAGAGACAAAAATTAAACAAGTCTGTATATTTCCAGATAAAAATAGTGCAAAAGATGCAATTAGGTAATACAGCTTTAATGTTTTAGAGAAGCACCTATAAGTAAGCTTTCTATGATAGGAAATGTAAGTCTAAAGAGAAGTCCTGAAGTTAGACTATAAAAAACTTTTAGGTCAAGCAAGTTCCTGTGTAGAATGTTTCAGTAGAAAACTGAAATCCACAGAAGTATGATTACTTCTATCAGAATTTAATATCGGATCGTATCAGAATTTAATAGGCTTTTTATGTTTGTAAGGTGAACTTAAAAAATCCTTGTTATGTTTCAATTCCTGTTCTGGCAGTTATTTCAATAAAAGTTTAAGGGATGTAAATGTAAATCCCATGTAAATGTGTCTATATTAGGGATCTGTAAGGCTCTGTGCAAGGTTTTTTCTCATTCTAGTGTACCAATTCAAAAGTGGTTCCAAACCTTAAGAAAAATAGCACTAGGGAATTGGATAAAGTTTCCATAGGACCCATATATCATGTAATCAGTGAAGAGGATCTGAAATCTTACCTTCTCAGCCTGGCACTGGAAGTGGTATAGAACTATTTCATCATTATGTCTATAAGAAGATCCTTCTATAACCTGCTGCCTCCTTGTGTATGATTCATGCCTGTGTAAGAGTTTCTTGAAGCCACATCAAGTCTTCATAATTTCCCTCCTTCCCTTCTCATAAGTCAGGAAATCCCTTCAAAACTGGAAGTGTATTTACTTGTGATATTCTGACTTCTGCTTTATGCTTTTGATATATCACATATGAAATGCAGCATCAAAATGAAATCAAGTGCTGGAGTACAGAGAAGAGTTTTAGGAATATTGCAGTTAAGTCATAAGGGCCTCTAGAACAGTTGTACTGACTTTTATCTGTTTGTTCATAAATGCCTATTGAGTACCTGTTTGTTCCAAGGCGTTATGTTAGGCACCAGTGGGGAAGGCAAAAATGAATCAACGTGGTTCATTAAATCATCTCTATTTAACCAGGCATAAAATCTACCTGTTGGTATTAGGAAAGAGATACAAATATAAATTAAGCTAATGTAAATTAATTTCAAGATCTTGGTAAATTTTTCTATGTACTTGCCCAAATTTCCACTATTTTTCTGGCCAGCCTCAAAACTTGGAGACATCTTTATCTTTTCCTTATCTTCATCCTAGCATATATAATCACCAAGTCCCATCAGTCCTACCTAATAATACTTCTTACTTATCTCCCTTCCTTTTTATTCCAACTACTGCCACTGTACTCCAGATTCTCATTTCTTACCTGGACTAATTCAGTAGTTTCCTAACCATTCTCCCTGGTCCCATCAAATCATGTGATTTAGAACTGGACTTAGAAATCATCTAACCCAATACCCTCATTTTACACATGAGTAAACTGAGGCCTAGAACTTAGGTCCTTTGACTCCAAATTTAGGACTCTTTTAAAAATATTTGTATAGTACTTTAAGGTTTGAAAAGCATCTTATCTCATTTCATCCTACCTGGTGAGGTAGGTGCTTTAACATCCTCATGTTATAAATGAGGTAACTTAAGCTCAGTAAGGGGAAGTCACTTGTGCAGGGTTACATAGGAAGGAAGGAAGTATAAGATTTTAACCCACTTCTTCCTGATTCCAAACCTAGCACACTGCTTTGTTTCCAGATTAATCCTTCTTTTACAGAAAATACACTTGACTTGGAAATTTCCTATTGCCTAATGAATAAAATCTAAATTCCTTAATTTAGCTTTCTAGACTCTCCACAATTGGTTTGGTTCCCACATACTTGATCTTACAATATCCTACTCTTCATCTACCCTGTGCTGCAGCCAAATCACTTTTCTTGTCTCTGTCCTTCCATTACCTGTACTTGGAATGTCCCTCCTTCTACCCCTTCATCTCCACCTGTTGAAATTTTACGCATCCTTGAAGGCCCAATTAAAATACCATGTTCTCTGGGAAACTTTCCTTGGTTTCTTCCATCCCTAGGCAGAAATAATCAGTCTTCAACTCTTCTAGAACTTTGTTTTCTACTTCTGCATTAATCACATCCAATTTTTTTTTGTCCTGTTCATATGTAATGGGTTGGATTGGAAACATGTTCCATAGTATACTGAGCTTTATCCCTAAAAGTGGCCAAGATATAGGCTCAGCATTCCATGATGTACTACAGCTATCGTTACATGTGTATTTATTTATATTATCTCCCCTAGTATAACGTAAGCTTCTTGTGGATAAGGATTGTGCATATTCAAGGCTTGATTTTCTTTGGCCTTTCAGCACAGTCAAGCACATGAGGTTTGTTATAAATGTTTGTTGAATAAACGTAATTAAATTTAGTGTATAAGTATCCAAAATTATTTCTCCTTATCATGATAAAAGTATTAAGTAAAGACTTTAACAGTCTTAATGTTATTTGCTTTAACTTTATGCTTCAAAACTGTGACTGTTCTATCATAGTGTGGCCTACTATATTATTCCAGTTCAGGATAACAATGTTTCTTGCATACGATTTTAGTTTGGAATACCTTCTTATACATTAGTTGTTTGAGTTTTTTGAGATAGGTAGGGTAGCTATCCCAAAACATTTAATACAGATGAGAAACACAGGTTTCAAAGAGGTTAAGTGATTTGCTTAAAGTCACGTATCTGTTATGTATCAAACTTGGAACCAATGCCCAGGTCTAAGGAAGGAAAGAAACAATCATTTATTAAGCTTCTGCTATGTATCAGGTACTGTGCTAAGTGCTTTACAATTATGATCTCATTTGATCTTCACAACGACTCTGGGAGGTAGCTGTTGTTATTATCCCCATTTTACAGTTGAGGGAACAGAGGCATGCAGAGGTTAAGAGAGCTGTTCAGAGTCACACCTCTAAGTCACTATCTGAGGCCACATCTGAACTCAGGTCTTCCTGACTCTAGGCCCAACACTCTATCCACTGGACCACCCACCTGCCTCATAATCTGGGTTATTATGACTCCATAATCCAGTGTTCTTTCTACTATTCTATATCTTTTTAAAAACTAGACCAATGTTTTGATTGGTATAGGAAACTCCTGATGAGGAAACTCCCTCTATCAATGAAGATCTAAACCCACTTTTCAACTTTTAAATGAGTTGCCTAGGGGCCTTTAGAGCCTAAGAGGCTTGCCAAAGATCACCTACCTAGTACATATCCGAAGCAGGACTTGAACCTAGGTCTTCTACTTGTATCATAATAAATATAATCATAAATGTCTAGAATTGGGAGGAAACCTCAACATCCATCTGATTCAATTCATCCCCAAAGAAGAATCCCCACTAGAGAACACCCACCATTCTGCCCAAAAGACCTCTGAGGAGGGAGAACCTGAGGCAGCCCAATCCACTTTTGGATACCACTCACTGTTAGAAAGGTTTTTCTGTCATCAGGCCTAAATTTGCCTTTTTTTTTTTTTTAGTGAGGCAGTTGGGGTTAAGTGACTTGCCCAGAGTCACACAGCTAGTGAGTTTTATGCGTCTGAGGCCGCTTTTGAACTCAGGTACTCCTGACTTCAAGGCCAGTGCTCTATCCACTGTGCCACCTAGCTGCCCCCCTAAATTTGCCTTTTAATAGCTTCTACTTATTGCCCCTGGTTCCAATCTCTGAGGCCAGACAGAGCAAGCATTAATCCTAATTGTGTGTGAGAACCCTTCATATACTTAAAGTTAACATACCATATGAATCCTATCTTCTTCAGACTAAACATCCAAAATTCTTTTAAGCAATCTCCATATGACATGGGCTCAATGCCCTTCATCATCCTTCTTGCCCCACTATAGAAACTCTCCAGTTTATCACAATACTTCATATTTAGCTTAACCAAGAAAGAGTAGAAAGGGCTATCAGCTTATTCTGGAAGATAAGCTTTTACTAATGAAGATCAGGGTCATACTGCTGACATATTGACTCAGCTCTAATGTGAGGCCCTTTCAAGGTGGTTAAAAAATCCTAAGAAATGTAATATTTTAAGAAATCATTTTTGGTATCACCAAGTGCTATTTCACCAAGTTACTGGAATATTTTGCTCTCTTAAGTATTAGAAAATGTTACTGGTATCAGAACATTTGAAAATTTTCTACCTAAAGGGATATTATTGAAACAATAATTAAAAGATTAAAAATGTTTTAAAATAGAGAAAATTAAATTAATGTAATTATCAAGTAATCATTGCCTTTAATTGTGGATACTAGTATCTATGGTTAGAGTAGTGGTGATAGAATTGTTTCCAGGGTTGGCCATTAAGTTGTTCATATTTACAGTATATGTACTTGCGTACTTGTAGGATTTCTCTTTCCTTTTTTTTTTATTCCCAGTGCTCAGTAAACGGTTAACAAATGTTGAATTAAAATGAATTTACAAAAGAATTCTGCTGAAACTGTACTCATATCAGTCTTCTAATACAAAATATATGCAAGGGACAACTGGATATGAAAAAAAAAGAACTTCAGATGTCCTTTTATTCCTCCAGAAATACTCATATTTTATCTTTCTCCAAGAAATGATAGGCTGTGTCTACCTTTTAATTCTTTTTTTTTCTTTTCATATTTTGGAGATATGTCACAGTTACATATCCGTTATGTTTCTCAAGGAACCTGGTATACACACACACACACACATCACCCCTTAAATGACTTTTTTTTTCATTTCCTGCTTTTCTTGTCTCCTTATTGAGACATTAAAAGCATTGTTGTTTATCAGACTTTTGAAGTCCACAGCATTTGAAATTGTAAAAGAGGATTATTTGTTCCTTATTTTCTTTTTGTTGTTGTTCAGTTGTTTTCAGTCATATCTGACTCTTCATGACCCCATTTGGAGTCTTCTTGGCAGAGATGCTAGAGTGGTTTGCCATTTCCTTCTCCAGTTTATTTTACAGATGAGCAAACTGAGGCAAATAGGGTTAAGTGACTTGCCCAGGGTCATTCAGCTAGGAAATGTGTACGGTTTTTGTGTAGGATTTGAACTCAGGTCTTCCTGATTCCAGGCTCTGCACTCTATCCACTATACCACCTTTTAAGCTGTAATAAATGCTGCTTTATAATATGATATTAATAATAATTATAATTATAGTTTCTTATCACCACACTGATGTTATTCTTTTTAACACTGTTAAATCTAATAGCTTGAATTTTTTGTTTTAGAAGACTTTGGCATAGCATTGAGAATAAATGGATAACTAAAATAATTTTTATTATAAACAGATCAAATCATAATACATTCCTCACAATTCTGTGAAGTTCATGGCTGAAAGTTATTGTAGTGTTCATCTTTATGGAACTATGGCAATTTTTAATGGAAATTTTTAAAATTTAAGAGGCAAGATACTTCATTAATATGCAAAACTTATTTTGATTGGAAAACATAAATATAATGTATAACATATCTTTAAATGTGTTTCTTTTCTGGTTAAAAACTGCCATGTCCTGAAATTTTATGAATGAATTTTCCAGAAAGCTACACAAATTGCAAACCTTTTTAGGCAGAAAGTTTATCTGTGTCTAACAGGTACTCCAGAATAAAGTAATTAGTTGCCTTTGTGGCCTTTTTCTGAAGCCTTTTTAAGGTTGTTGAAAATGGTTAACACCTGACAATTTTAGCAATGTTCATACAGTGGTTTGCCTGCAAAAATGCTAGAAATTATATTAAGTTTTGCAATCAACCAGTGTCTTTTTTGAAAGATATAAATTACTGTGCTTTACAAATTAAACAAAATAGTCTATCCCTTCCACTATATCAATTGTTTCTTAAACATAATTGGAGCACTTTTAGTATTATTTCAACTCTTAAAAGACTTTAGAAATATCATTTGATAAATTACTGTCATATATTCATTCAGGGTTAGGAAGTTGTTTTTACTGGAGCACCACTTAAATAGTTTTCCCGACCTTTAAATATAAAATATATTGGATCCCACTGCTACCAGTATACCTTTTGGGACCCAAAAATACCTAATCTTAGAAAAGTAGTAATAGCCTGAGCAAATTATTGGATCTCAAAGTGTCTATTTTTATTTCTAAACATATAGATTCCTTTTTGTTCTGTTTATCATCTGTTTAGTATATAGTGAGTCACTATCCAAAGCTTGCCTTTCTTCTGGGTTCCTGAGCAAAGAATTATCAATGCCAATCCTCAGTAGGGTCAAATTAAGCACCAGTCATTTAGATTACATGTTACATATCACTGTACTAAGTTATCAGATGGCCAGAAACAGTTGATAGTTTTTTTCTCTACATAATGTGACTCTATCCATATCTATGACATAAAATGATAGGCAGGATGCTATAGCGGCTGAAGGGTCCTGGAAGAAGGAAGCCCAGGGTTCAAGTTCTGACTCTGACACATACTAGCTGTATGATCATGGACAAATCACTTAACCTCTTAATGCCCTGAGCAACATTCTAAGACTATAATTGGGGAATGAGTTGTTGATCTACATTGGTGAAGGTAGTTTCCACAACAAAAAAGTTCAGACCACATAATAAAGTCAAAGGATCATGCACTCTCTTCCCTCTTCTCCCCAAAACAGTATATAAAATAAAATGTTCAGTTTTTTATTTTTGAGTTCACTAAGTGAAAATTATATTGTTCTAACATGCATAGATTGGGAAAAATCCTTATTTTTTTTAATATTATGATAGGAACCAAGGTTACATTCTGTGAGAAGAAGCTTTTCTCAGCCTTCATCTGTGGGACTGAAACCTCGATATACCCGAAGTCCTCACTTTCATCCTAGGAAAGAATTCAGAGCAGAAGATTCAATTCTTACTCCACCTTCTTCTACTGACTCTGTTAAGTAAAATCTTGGCTGTTATACCAAACACTAAATAGCTACTAGCTCCATATGTGGTTTGGTACTGAGTTTAATGAATATGCTTAAGTTAAAAGTGTCTTTGCTTTTTGTAAAGGGAATAAAAGGAATCTTGCAGTTCATTGCTCAGAACATTAGAGGTGCAGGATAAAATCATGGTTTCTTTTATTAATTTATGCACATTTATGGTAACATATCTCTGATAACTAGGACAGAGGCTACAGGTACAAGACAGTACATGTCTAGATTAAAAACTGAAAATTCAGTCAGTCATCTGGATATTTTGTCTACATGATTCCTAACATCCAGATACTTTAGAAACCTCTGAGTGATTACATTTCTCAGTTTTCATCCAGATGTTTGACATTGTATAGATACAACCACAGTGTATTAAAGCAGTTAAGATAAACTGTTTGTAAGATAGGCTGGGCTCAAAAAGGCCATATCTTGATATATATGTTTAGATATTTACTCATTCTCATATTATTTCAGTTTCACAGTGTTTAGTTTTTACATATGTTTTGTTATATATTTTAAATCTTTTTGCTAAAATATCTAATACTTTTCATTTATAATTTGAATTCTTATCAAATATATCTTTTAAATAATTTATATTAAGAATTTTAGAAGTCTGTCAGATAAGGACCATTTGTTTCATACTATATTCCATGGCCAAAGCTGACATTAAAATACAGTTAATAATACATATATATTTATTACTGATCCTCTTTTGTCATTGATATATGAAGTGTGTTTTCTGGCATCTCTTCAGGTTTAATTAAACATTCACTATATATGATATATATATATATATATAAATTTTCTTGAGAGAACATAATATATTTCTTTATTGAAAGTAAATTAGCCACCTGTCTGTGCTTTCGTGTCAGCTTATAAGGCTTCTAGTTTAAAAATAAATTAGCCTTGAATTTTAAAAAACACTGAATTCTTTATGTAACCTTTTAAAATATTAGTTGGGATCATTTGTTAATATGGTATGGAAGACTTAATATTTTTAATATTGAACTGTCTTTTAAAAAAATTTACATCAGTTTATAGGTACATCTCAGCTGTTCTTAGAGAAATTATCTTCCTCTCAAAACAAAATTAGGTTCTTATAGAGTGGGCATTATAGCAAAAGTGGTTACATAAATTAATAATATTGAAATTGTTGTATTTAAAATCTAATTTAGCACCTAATGGAATTATATTACACTATGTGTTAGGAGTCAGATATTCTTGACTATATTATAATTTTGTGTCCACTCTAATACCCAAAGCTTTTTTGTACTCTTGTTGAACAGGAATAAAGATTACCTACAAAAATTATTTGTTAAATTTTTATAAAAAAAATATTCCAAAAGGTAATAGCCCAATTGTTTGTAACTTAGGACAGTTTTTTATCCTCTTTCTTTTATTACCCTCTTTGTCATATAGGACTATAAACTGTCTATTGATGTATATAATTTGTTGGGGGCGTCAACTTAATATTTTGGGATTAATATACTTCAGTTGAACACTAAAATTTAGCAGCGTAGGAACGTTAGAGCATATTTTGGCACATCCTGAAGCCACTCCATCTACATGTACATGTTTTCCTTTACTGTAATTATTTGTGAGAACAATATCCTGTATAGAAAGTCTTGTGTTCTGATATTACAACCTTATTCAAAATATCATGAAACAGTATATTTACTCCATTTGTCTGGTATTTGCAGGATAAGTTTTAGTTCTTTTTCACAATTCAAGCTTATTCAGTATATACCAAGGCATGTATGTTCTGAAAATGTTGTAAATTATAGAGATCCGAGAGTAATTGTATTCCAAAAACAATTTACATTTGAAGTATTTTCTAATTTCTTGAACAATTGTGCTATTATTTGAAATGTATATCAGGGAAAGTATTATCTGGAAAAACCCGAATATTTCCATGGATTCATTATTATTTTCATTCAGTTTTATGAGGGTAATATACTTTTTTCTCCAACTATATATATAAGTAAAAAAAGGACTGAGAAACTTTGAAAATTCATTAATACACACAAAAAAGGTAACAAAACCAATCTTAAAAGAAGGCAGCAGACTATCTGTTAGAAAATTGTCATGCTTAATTTCTGTAATTTTGCATTTTAACAAATGATGTACCATATCCCAGTGTATCAGAAAGCAACTTTAACTATTTTACAGATCAATGTGTTAGCTTTATTTTTAAGTGGCAGTGCCTTTTTCATTACAAGTCATGATAAAAATGGCATATGTGTAGAATCTTAGGTTAGAGGGACTACTGTTTCTTATTCTTGGTCCCCATGTGATTCAGAAACTATGAATTGTATATGAAGGGAAGGTTGAATTAATATAAAAAATATTGCTACAAATTATTTTTTGTGCTTCAGAAAAGCCCTTAGCTTAAAGGACAAAAAATAATTTAAAATACATTCATTAGAACTTTAAGGAACTTTTCAAGGTATTTGGAAAATATTTCAATGTTTGTAACAAATCAAAGAAATTAATCATAAGTAAAGAGGGCTAGATAAAATCTTTAAGTATGGAATTGAACATTAAGGATTCAGAATTTTTAAAAGTAGTTAGATTTGCTTACTGAGAGCTCTACAATTCAATAATACTTTCTAGTTCATAAAATTACATTAATACCAAAAAGTAAATTTGGTCACTCCATTTCAATTTAGAAGATAAAGTTTTATTTTCTTAGAACTAAGCCTTCATTCTAATTCTTAAAATCCTGAGAATGTTGTTGCACTGAAAAGCCACCCTTAAACTTTCTAAACTTTATAATGTGTGTAGCTATATCTTTCCTTAAATATATGTATTTTTCTGCCTTTCAACCTAATGTGTCCCTCTCTTTGGAAAATGATATTAAAAGTCTTGGTTATTAATGCTTGGACTTTATATCTACCTCGGTAAACTTGTGCTGGATTAGAATTATTGCTACCCTTAATATAAAGCAATGTTTTCAATATTTATATTCCACTTCTGCCTAAGATCTAGAGGAAAATTTTCATTTCTTAATTTATCTGTTAACTATACAGGGATTGTTTTGCCCCAGAGCTGATTGAAGTAAAATCAATGTTGGCTCTGTAAGATAGTCTCTGTGAGCCATAGAAAAACATAAAAATATTATGCACCCTTTTGAGCTAACCAACTTAATTTTAAGAGCATCATTTACATCTGAAAATAAGACAATTGATTTTGAAGACAGTGAACTTACTAGATACTTTTATGGGAGAAAAAATGCTACTTTGAATTTTGATTATTAAGTACCAACTATTTTTATGTACTAGGTCAAGCAATGTCATAATGATCACTAAAATAATATTTTTTACATTTAAACAGGAATTTATTTTTTCACATGTTTAGAAAGTGTCATGAAAACCCAACCATTAAACTCCATTCAGTTAACCAGTATTTATGTGTTTTCTGTAATTTGGTATATCTTTTATTTTTCTCTGTACTTAATGACTCTGAATACCAAAACAGGCCTGCTAAATATGGTAACTTTTGCTATCATAATTTGATTTAATTAATCACATTTCAGTAAAATTAATAAAAATCAACAAGAACACATAGTTTAAAATTTTTCTGTATTTTAGATGAAAAGATTTAGGGAGTTTTAAGGATACATATTCTCTAAAAAATAGTTTCATAGACATTTAAGTATTAAAGTAAGTTAATGCAGTAATGTCAGCTTACCTGGATTGAAGCTTTCTTCACTTTATGACAGCTTCTATTTAAGTGAAGGAAAAAAATGTTTAACAAGTCATTTTTAAAATAAATTCAACAACGTATGATATATAGGTCATTTTTATGATGCATTAGTCTGATGATCCTGTCAGCAAGCTATAAACTACCGTGCAAAAAAATGTCAAAATATGACAAGCACCCATCATGCCTAGCTAGCTGTAAGAATGTGCTGCTCACATTTTAAACAGAGTTCTAAATAATTTATTTAAGACACAGTATAAAGGTACAGGTCTTTTTGGCCTTATAAGTTAACATGGACTTTGTGAACCTTTTGACATTATAATACATTTTTTAAAATGTATTTCAAATAATAGCTTAAAAGAATGCCATAGACTTAGGTTTTCATCATACTTCTTTATAATGTAGCCTATGTCCATCAAAATGGCTACATTTCATGACAAATGAATCAATTAAATATAACAATGAGTGCCCTTCATGTGATTCATAATAAAGTTTCTAAATATTTAATTTTGTGAAGTTAGAACATGACTAAACTGTCATGTGACATACAATTTATCAAGTGTTGTCCAGTATGCAACATTCTAGCTAATGGGGTAGATGTTTTGCTTTGTTAATAAATGGAGTCCGGGGACATTTAATGTGGTTACTGCAGGCTTGTTAGAAAAAATATCATAAGTGTTTAATAAATGTTTAATAAATTTATAAAATTTAAGTTGTTAGTAAATATATGATTCTTTAGCACAATTGACTATATAGCTCATTTGTATTAAAACTGGAAAAAAACAAGTTTATATAGTTTGTAACTTCTGATAAAATTCTGTTTTTGTAACTAAAAAGTTAATTCTAATAAAAAATTTTAATATTGATTGCATATTCTTATGGGATAAATGTGAATTTTAAGTATTAATAAGTTTTCATTATTAATAGTTAAGCTCTTCCTTTTATTATCATTTATATTTTAAATAACTAAAAACATACTAAGGTACCCAAATTTAACATAAAAATTTAATATAAATTTAACATAAAAGAGAAATGGTAAATTCTAGAGTTTGAAACAGCTTTACAGATAGTAATAATCCAAAAAAATGTCCAAACAACTTTCACTACCTTTTTCCCTTAGCCCTACAAAAATTAAGTAATATTATTGAACATCTAAATCACTTAGCCAGCTGCATGTAGGGAGTTCACTGAAGAAAAAGTCTGAGTCAAAAGACAAATATATTTATTCAACATTTTTCTGAAAGTTTTTTCCCTTTTTTGCACTTAGTAAACTCTCCACATTTTGAGAGGGCAGGCTTCACATTCTACAGCCATCAACAGAGTTCATTTTCTTCTGTTCATATTATCTTGATTGTGGAAACATGACTTTGGGTTACCTGTTTGTATATTCCAGTAGAGTTCTTAATAGGCTCATTTGGCCAAAACTATCATCAGGTGGTAAGAGAGAAGTTCAAACAGTGACCAAAGCTGGCACCAGAATTAGGAATTTATAGAGAAGCTGGATCCACTGGGCACAGACAAATTCAGGGGGCAGGGACAAAAGAACTGCTCTTAAGATCAAAAGATAGTCTGAAAGAGGATAATAGAAATACACTATGGCATAATGAAAAGAGTACTAGATTAGTTGGAATGATATTAGTTTTATAGAATATAATTCCATTTTAACATTCATTACAGTAGGGATTGTTTCATTCTTTGTGATCCCACTGCCTAGCATGATTCAGCCTGGCACATAGGCACTCAGTAGTAAGTGATTATAGATTGAGTCAGAA